ATTTTTCTTTAATTTTACAATTGTAAAATTGTTTAATTCTTCATTATGTCCCGCTAATAAAATGCTAATAAAATTTCAAGGGAGTCCTTCCGGTATTTCGTCATCCGACACGTCCGTCACTTATTTTTACAACTGTAGTAGAATGCAATTAATAAAAAAAAATAATAAAAAAAACAAAAGTAAATCTAAAAATAATAAAAAAAACAAAAGTAAATCTAAAAATAATCATAAAACTAAAACTTGATCAAAATTGAAACAACCGCCCGCTAATGAAATCGAACCCAGGACCCCATGAATAAGGACCACGCATTATCCATCTAGGCTACCCTCGAAGTTGATTTTATGATACTTAAAATTGGTGTTAAAGGAGGCGCTAGAATCTATAGCAAAAACAGAGTTGACGAGTAAGGATAGTAAAAGATATTTCTGATCTCTTTACTCTTACATTGGTTCGGTTACAACGTTTCAAACTTTCATCGTTCCAAAGATGTTACGATCTAAAAATAGAATTCTCTCTCTCCCTATCTCATCTGCCAGCCGATTGTCGTGGAACCCGCTCTCAAATGTTTTCATTACTACAGCGGGTTCCACGACGGAAAAAATGAAAACATTTGAGAGCGGGTTCCACGACGCGGCCTGCCAAAATGCCGTAGAACCCGCACTTATAGACATTTTTACAGCGGGTTCCACTACGAACTGAGGCGTTGTTAAGGTGATTTTACAATTTTGTATTTTTTTATTGGATTATAAATTTAGAAAAATACATTAAAATAATAAAAATATAATATAAATAGATTTAAAATTAAAAAAAATGGACTTCCCTGAGCCTGGTTTGAACTCATTTTACTTTGCACACCAGCCAAGCACTCTACCACTCGGCTATTCCTTATTCGTTGTCTCGCGAAAAATTTCTCAAACTTAACTTGTCGAGCAATGGAACCCGCTCGTTCCAGCGGGTTCCACTGCTGGAACCCGCCATAGAAAATTTTTCTTTGTATGAGATGTCCCATCTATGTACTGTATAATCTTTGTTAGAACTACTCTAAGTTGTGCCAGGTATCACATAGTCCAGCAGACCTATATCTTCATCATTTTTCAACTGCTATTTTAAATTACTTTCCCTATAAAAGCTGAACAAACTTTTATAAATTAAAAGAAGGCTCTATGGCCTAACTTTTGACCACCCCATGCCACCCCCCATTCCAGGCCCATCACAATGCCCATGGCACCAAAAAAAAAATAAAACTTTCGATATGGCAAATGATTGCATTTAATTATCGACAGCCGTTTGGCCTTATCGGAAGCCAGGGTTTGACGCATTCCACTGGCCCAGGCAGCCAAACAAATGTCAATGTCCCGAGGCGAACTGTTTGGTGAAAAAATGGGGGCGATAGCAGGGCCCCAGTAAGTGAAGAACTCGAAACAGCCTGTCGCTTTCCCATATTACACATGTCACTCTCTTGTTTCCAATTAAGGTTTATAAATCATAAATATTTGTTTAGAAGCTGGCATATCGATATCGAGGTGGGGAATTTAAAAAATTTAAATACTTCCTTGAATTTTAGTGAGTTTTTGTTTATTTTGTGCAAATTACACGCATAAACGGAGCTGCAAACAGTTGCTCGTAAAGCTCCTGAGGGGGAAAATAAAAAGTAAATGCATTTCTGCACAGACGCCGTCGTAAAAAAGCAGCTGAAATGTTGTCGTTGCACTTTGCACTCGACTCCTAAGCTGCTTAGAGACTGCCATAACCCAGACTGCCACAGACAACAAACATCAGGAACAGACCTTCCACAGAAGTCGTAAATTGGTGGCCATTTGACAATTTTAAAGGCCACTTTAACAAGGAGATTATTAAAAACAAGAAAGAGTCAGGAGTTAGCCATTAGGATGATGTTTAGTATTTTTAAATTAATTTAACCCATTAAGAACCCAGTACAAAGAATGCAAAAACATGCTTGACTCAATTGAATTAAATTCGGTTAACTCAAATCAGCTCAGTGTCATTTCAATATATCTCACAACAAAAAATATGTGTCACCCAGAGAGACACAGTGCGTTTCAAAAGTGTAAAAAAATATATGTATAGACTTTTGAGAGATTTTTAAATATTTCGTGTGGGTTTCAAGTACCAAAAAGTGACACAAATTCATGCCACATTTGCGCCTCAATTACCAACCCACCTCTCAACATAATGGGGCATACTATAACCCCAGCAAGAGAATTATTTTCAGATACAGATCCTCAAAAACAAAGTCTTGTATCTTTTATTTACTCGAAAGTCATCTAGTTTGTTTACGCTTCGTATTTTTTTTTTATTTTTGGCGCAATTGATTTGTAGTTGATGACGTCGGAAATACAAAAATAAATAATTTATCGTTTGGCTATAAACAGAGCCCCACCCCCAAGTCCAGGCCGGGAAAAGTGAAATGCAATGAATACTAATTTTGGGATGTTACTTATTTAGACTACAAAGGTTAAGTTTAGAGACGGAAGTTAAGCTTTTTTGGTTGGCTAATAAATCAATTAGGAAAAGTAACTAAAGGGTTAAAGATTTTATTAATATTTAAACAGTGATTTAATATCAAGTCTTGGCTATTACCACCCTAATCCCTAACTATAATTAATTAACTACGACTCTAATTAAAGGCTAAAGTAAAGTAACTAAGAAAAGTAATTAAAGGGTTAAAGATTTTATTAATATTTAAACAGTGATTTAATGGCTAGTCTTGACTATAAAAACTCTCCTTTTTACTATCCTCATAAAATAATGTGGTAATTGGGGGTTCTGGGAATCTGATTCAGATTTCTGATGTATAATTGTATAATATTCAAATGCCGATTGCTGGCACGCACATTATATAGCAATTATATTGACTGACCAGCCAACCAGCCGACCAACCGGAAGTTGGCTTTTATTTCTCCCACTCTCTTTTTCATCTGCTTTGTGATTTTGCATTCGCGCCAATCATTTAAAGAGAGGTGGGAGTGTCATATAGAGGGGGTCTATAGGGGGGTCTATAGAGGGGGCTCTATAGAGGGCTCCCTATAGAGGTGGTAGTGTCTAATGACTGCTCATTCCATTTCTGTTGTGATTATTCTGACTGACTGACTGTCTGTGTCGCCCTCCATTGTACAACTCGCATTAAAACCCCAAAAGCTTATATACTTATTCATACGATGATAAACTGCTTTATATATATACATATGTATTTTTTGTATTTGGAGCAGACTTTTTAAATGGGTCGCACATATATTATGGAGTAAGGGAGTAGGAGGACTCCCCCTTTTGAGTGAAAGCAGCTGGTTTTCCATGGAAATATGATTCCCAAAAGGGGAAGTGTTTAAAGATACTTTTAAAAACATGACAAATAAAACCTATATATAATTTAATAAAAATAATAAACCACAAGCCACCCTCTTTGATATTTAATATCTATGCACTTGCCAAGGTTCTCTACTTAACATATGCTCTAGTAAACCCTATATCTATTTGTAGATTAATTGTCTATAGAAAACCACAAAATTTATGTATAATAAACGTCACTGTCGATTGGCCCACAAACCTGATAAACTTTATTATCTCCGAGAAGCACCCACACTTTCTGGCTTATTCTATTATATATATTATATATTTTATTGTATTGCTCTTACAATGATTATTATTTGTGGCCCTTTGTTGACCTTGTTGCGGACTTTTGGACGTCTTTTGTTTGCATCTAGTTCGAGCCAATATTTGGCCAAGAAAAAGAGTCTCTAACAAGTGCTGATGGAAAAGCCTATTACCTTCTAATCATTTCTTTGATTCCAGTGTGGTTTCCCAGACTTTAAACCCAAAAAAAAGTGTTTCTCTTTTCATTCTATTTATAGCAACCCCCCTTCTAGAGTTTTGGCGCCTGGCCAGCAACTCCATAACCAGTTTGTTTGCCTTGGCAACCAGTTCCCCACCCCACCCCAACAGCCACCCACTCAACATGAAAAGCCAGCCAGCCAATGCAATGAAAATAAAATGCATTTTTAAATACCTCTGGGTTAGCCACCGCCGAAAAGGGTTAAATGCCCGACGAGGTCGTCTTTGTTGGGTGGCATTTAAGTGGGTCACCCACCAGAAAGGAAATGAGCTCATTTTCATACATTTTCCAGTTCATTTGCGTTGATTAAAGCTTTTCGCCCGCCAAATACTGTCTTTTTTTTTAATAATTTGCGAATTAGAATCCTACCCCCCGAATTAGAAGAGAAAGGTCACAAAAATTATGATAAATATTTTATTTAAAAATTATTTTTATTCATAGACTCTCTGATAAGATATAGCCTATAGATCTTTGAGATCTGGTTGGGTGGATGACTAATTAAAAAGAGAAACATGCGAGTGTGAAGAGTAAAGTTGGTTAATGACGTCAGTGGGGCGACGATAATGAAAGAGGTCCCAACATCGGATCGCACCATGCGGGCACGTGTGTGACTCAGACCCCAAAAGGCCCCCGAAAGGCCCCGAAAGAGAGTTATCAGCCACTACAGAACAGTAGTTTGTCCAAAAAAACAACTGGATATTAGTTTAGTTTTATTTTCTAAAACAAAACAGATGCTTGAGTCACTTCGTTTAAGATTAATTATTATCAAATAATACTAACAATTTTTATTAGGAATTTCGAGTTTTTTAAAAATTCTATATAATTTGTACCCACTGCCTCCTCTCTTCCTCTTTTCTCACCCTGCCAAAGGTTAAATACTCAATTTGTAGCTCGTTTATGGTGGTCGCTGGCGATTGTGGGGCTCTATGGGCTGTTATTTTTAGCAAGTTGTTGAAATTATCAGGCCTTTAAAGGAATTAAATAAACAAACAAAAGCATAATAAACAGAGTTTATAAACTATGTCTTGTAAAATCTTTATTAATATTATCTTAAATATATAGCTTAGTTTAAGTACTTAATGCTTAATGCCTAATAACCGGTTTATAGTCTCTCTGGGGGCGATCAGTGACGCATTTTTTGAAACTCACCCGATAGATCTGTATCTGCTCGAGCACCTCCTCCGATTCCCGGAGTACTCGCTCCACCTCATCGTAGACCTCGCGTTCCGTTTCCGTGGGTGCGGCATTCTCGAAATCCAGGAAGACATCATAGGACTTGGCTGCGCAACAATTCGAGTCATCGCGTGACAGTAGGCTCAGCAGCTTTCCCATTTTCTTTTTTGATTAAATTATGTTTATTATTTTATAGATTTTCCTTCCTTCCTTTCTTTATTTGGTTATTAATTAGCACTTTTGGTTTGGTTTTTTGGAGCACTAAAAAAGAGGGGATCTAGCATTAGCAGCTGTTGCACCTGTTGTCACAAAGGTATTAATAAATATATTTTCCAAAAAAAGAGCAGCTGCAAAAGTTGTCACTTATGGAGGTTTATGGAGGAGGTGAGGTCGTCAAGAGGGAAGGAAACTGCATCCAGAAACTTGTTTCATATTTTGTTTTGGAGGACAAAGGAAAACCTTGCATCTGACACGTTCAGGGGTGGGAAAATCAGGGAAAACAAAGACGAGGCCTACCAGTGTTGTTCGACCCCCTTGGAAGAAGGGTATATACATAAGAAACTTTAAGATAAAAAATTAAAAATGTATATACCATTAAATGAACTATAAAATATTAATTAAAAATAGAAGACCTTTCTTGGAATTTATCTTTGCAAAAAAAAAGACAAAGAAATTATCCTTAAAATGCCCTTTTTTTTCAAGGGCATTTTCTTCCGTTTCAATTAGGCAATATTTACTGTATTTCTTTTATTTTTTTTTTTGACTCCAGAAGGGCGTTGAAAATTGCACTGCGGGGGGTAAAGAGTAGAGAACAGAACAACGGGAGAGCCTGTTGGCCATGTGTGTGCTCCTCTCCCACTCTCCCAGGTGCTTGTTTGAGGGTCTCTGTGTGTGTGTGTGTGTTTCGCAGGAAATGCTGCGAAACCGAAACTTATCGAAAATGGTAAACAAAAACAACAAGGCGCTGGCAGGGCAAGGCCAATTTTCACACATCATTCTAAGTAGGAAAAGGCCATTTTCCTGTTTCACGCACCAAATGTAAACATTCTAGAGGCCAGCCAGCCATCCAGCCAACCCTCCCCCTCCCCTTGAACTTTAATTGCAAAAAACACCAAGTGAGCGAGAACTAGTTGTTATTAAAATTGTTGCTTTTTATGTAGTATTTGTTTATCTCTTTTTTTTTTTCGTTATCTGCTGTCACTTCATTTCTCGCTCTCTTACTGGCCACCTCCTCGGTCAGTTAGCGCGCTTATCTACAGCACTTTTATGTTTTTTTAATATTTATACATTTTGTCTGCATTGGAATTTCATTTTTTTTGTTAACACTCTTATCACCTTTTATTATTTTTTTATCGAACCAGTTGATTTTTATTGCTTAAATTTTAGAGGAACGCATCGCGCGGTACCGAGTCCTTAAGCAGTTGCGAACACAGAAAAGAAAGCACTCTCCGCTCCGTTTACGGTAGAATTTTTCGCGGAAAAAAACACAGGCCCCCGCAACAACATCAAAAAACACAGTGTGGCCAGGTGAAGCAAACGCAGACAGACCACTGCAAGCGTGGGATTAGCTAACTGATCTGGCAGCTCTGTATCAGTGCTGTGATCTTCTGGCCAAAGAAAATAACTGGCTATAAAGATAAGAAACTTTAAAGAAAATCGGAATATTAGATAAATCTATTTTCTAAAGGTGTTTTTGAAATGTAATACATATTTTCAATTGGTTGAAAATAATAGGCAAACTGTCAAAATAGTTAAATGCTAAATATTGATAGATGTTTTGTAAATAAAAGTTTTAATCATAAATGTTTTAATATCGAAAAAGAGCAGACTTATAGCAGTATAATTCTAAAATTGGAAAGGTCCTCAGAACATAGTTTCTTTCTCTGAAAAAACCACTAACCCACCAGCACTGCTCTTTGTACTTTGCAAAGCTACGGCCACACTACCCTAAAAATATTGAACACATTGGCTGAAATCAGAAAACCCTCGAAAAAACCCACACTAACTATGACTGAGGACAACAAAAACTCAAAGCTGGACGAGATCCAGCGCCAGCTACTGGACCGCCTGGCCAAAAACGACTCCAGTGGCTTCAAGCAGCTCCTGGGCCAGCTGAAAGGCGGCGTTAACTTTGTGGACGACAGCGGGATGTCATGCTTGGCGCATGCGAGCTTCAAGGGGAATCGCGAGGCAGTCCAGCTACTGTTGGAACTGGTGGGTGTTATCAAAGATAAGCCAATATTTCTGTGTAACTCCGTTTTCTTTCGCAGGGCGCCGACATAAACCTGAACCAACATGGAGCTGATTATACGCCCCTGCACTTTGCGGCGCTCTCTGGGAACACGCACGTGTGCCGGCTACTTTTGGATGCCGGAATCAAACCGGGGGCCATAAACAGTGTCCAACGGACTGCCGCCCAAATGGCTGCCTTTGTGGGTAACCATGCCTGCGTGGAGACCATTAACAACTACGTGACTAGGTCGAGTTTGGAGTACTACACACAGGTGGGTGGGCATAAGATGCCATTTCTTGCTAGACAACTAATCAAAAAGCTTGAACTCCCTGACAGGTTCATGGCCAACAAAAGGAGCCGCAAATTCCACCCACTCTGCTAAAGAACTTCCACAGCTTTGTCACCGAAATCAATCTGCATCCTGTGCGCATTGCCCTGAACGTTCAGTCCCTGGGTCTTCTGAGAATCCTATCCAGTCTTCGAAAAACCTTGGCCCTGATGTGCGAAAAAGAGATGCAGAAAACCCACGATCTTAACGAGCTGCTGGCCTTCAAGTTCCACTACCAAGGCTGGATTCTGGCCGAACTGATACGCTGCGAGGAGCAGTTCAAGGCCCAGCACAAGGATAAGCCCGCTGGCGAGGAAGCGGCAGGCGATGCCAACAAAAATGAGTTCATCGAGGTGTTTGTGAAGCGAGTGCTGAAGGAGAACAAGCTGGGTCAATTGGACTACGTGGAGTACACAATAAGGGAGTGCGCCCGAGAGTTCCCGGTACGGGAGTGCACCATCTTCCGGCAGATTGCCACACAACTGAGTGCCTCCGCTGCCCCACCAGCACTGACTATCCTGCGGAATGCAATTAACGGCATGAGAGGATTTGTGGTACGTCAATTGGAGTTCAAATCTTTTAGGAATTTCAATAAAATATTCCCATTCTCTTCCAGGACGAGAGCAGCTATTGCAGCACCTGTGGTGCCGAGAAGCCGGACAAGAAGTGTTCCAAGTGCAAGGCCGTGCAGTACTGCGACCGCGAGTGCCAGCGCCTCCACTGGTTCATGCACAAGAAGAACTGCGCCCGACTGCTGGCCCAGTCGCAGAACCAAAGCCAGTCGCAGCCCCAGTCCAAGGGTAACATCGACACCGCTGAGCTGCGCGAGGAGCTCTCCAAGCTGACTGCGTAATCCAGTGCGTAATATTTTTTATTGCAAATAAATGTACTATAAAACATGGAACCAAGCATTTTCCTGTACTACAAAAATGTGTTAGTACAATCACACAAATATGCTATATAAGATTGCAGAATGTCCTGACTTTTCAGTAAGAATTTTCAAATAAAACTGCCCAATATTAAAACGTTTTTATTGGAATTCATGAGTTTATGTTTTATTACTTAATTTAAGTTAGCTAAAGTTAAGTTTAACTTAATTTTTAATTTAGAAATAAGTCTTTAAAAATCAAACAAAACTTTTGAATGAAAAGAATTGTTTTATCGGATCTCTGGTTATCGGTAATCGGTCGAGTTCGAAAATTCGAACTCCGACTGCTAACAGCTGATAGGCCCCTTCAGCCCCACTTCGGGCGCAGAATTCATTTAGTTGATCCTCAGAATTCCATTGGAGATCATTTAAAAATGGTGAAAATATGGTTTATGGACAATGAAGAGACCGACCAGCGTCTGGAGCACCACCGCAATCCCCCACAGTACCTGGAGCTGGCCGATCTCTACCGGAAAACCGGCGTGGAATACTTCAAAGTAAATGGAATAATTCCAACTACGTCTTTAACTTTTGATGACCTTGGGGCCGAGCTTATCTTGATCGTTTATTTACTCACTCGCCTTCTTGCAGATCAATGCGGACGACTACCAAAATGATAAGATTCTTTCGGAGCTGCGAGCCAAACGGGGTTATACCTACGATGATGAGGCAAGATCGATGAATCCAGCGAAGAATGTTGATTTTAATGACATTTATTTTGCAGATTACTTGCTCGGAAAAGTGCCTGCCGGACTATGCCAATAAGCTGAAGGCATTTTTCACCGAACACCTGCACACCGATGAGGAAATTCGACTCATCTTGGAAGGAACCGGATACTTTGATGTGCGCGAGTGAGTGGGAAATATTTATATAATTTTTTTTTAATATTTACCTTTAACATGGTTTAATTTATTAAATTGTATTCCTGTTTTCTAGTGACGAAGAAAACTGGCTGCGTATCGAGGTGGTCAAAGGAGACTTGATTATCATTCCTGCTGGTATTTACCATCGTTTCAGCCTGGACATGAACGTAATAATTATAATATTTTTTCTTTTTCTAAAAAACTAATGTTTGAATTATTTTAGAACTTTATCCGCACTCGTCGCTACTTCGTTGGGGAGCCTGTCTGGACCGCCCACAATCGTCCTGCCGATGAAATGGATTGCCGCAAATCCTATGTCAAACATCAGGCTGAAAACTTTGTGCAATTTAACAAGGCTTAAATATTAATATTTTTGTTTTGTTTAAACAATTTGTTTTTTTTTTATGAATTGAATGTTTTATAACCTAAATGAAAATTAGCAAATATGATAATCGAACATTTGTATATCTTGCGATTAAAATTATTAATATTATTATTTGAAACAACATTTTCATATTTAAATCGAATGCTACAATTTTTACCCGGTTCGTTCATTTGCCCGGTTTACCAAGAACAGGGGAAGTAGTGTGCCCAGTCTTAGAATTCGGAGTTCTTCATACAAAATTCGGAGTAGGGTAGTCAAATAGGGGGTTTTATGTTAGAAATAGATTTTTCAATAGTTTAAAAATAATTTTTGAGGGTAATTTACTTTGAAGGAGAATTTTAGGTGCACTTTGGGTTTTAAGGGGAAGGTAGGATATTTTAGCGGGTTTTCACGGCAAGCCGATTAAATTCGGTGGGAAATGCAAATCGCCATCTGGCCACACTGATTCGGAGATAGGTATTCCGATAACACTCACAACAAAAGAAGAAGAACAAAAGAGACGCGGAAAAACGGACGTGCACGGAAAGAAGCGGAGATAATTAAAAACAAATGAATTAATAAATCGAGATCCGTGTGAATTATAAAATCGAATGAACGTCCAGGATCGATAAAGAACAGTTTCGTTTTATTTTGTTTCTTCTCGCGCGTTGTCGGTGTCGTCCTGTGAATTCTGATATTTCTCGATTCGAAAACCCAAAAGCCGTTAATATCGCGTTATCTATTTAAAGCCGAATTTTGTGACTTCGGAGGGAATGCAGCTTACGGGTCTTGAATATCTCGAGTGAAATGCATTAAGTGGCTTGCGGTGTATCGTGTGCTTTCCCCACACACTCAATCCCAACATAGTAAACAAATAAAAAAAAAATAAATAAAAAAGGAGTCAAGGGCGTGCAACATATTATATTTAATATTTATTCACGGTGCGTGAAAAATTTGAGAATAGCCGCTGCCGCCGTCGCCGTAGCCGTAGACGTCAGCAGAAGCCGCGCGTGGTGCAAGTGTGTTGGTGCGACGCACATACAGCCAGATAAATAAGCGTATGTACAAAGCACTGTGTAGGTGCATGGTCTGTATATAAGAAAAAAGGCCAAATTAGCGCAGTTACCAAAAAAGTGAAATCTATAATATTGTGCATGCGAGTGGTAAATTAAAAAAAAGAAAAAATAAAACAACTCAACAGCAACACATCATCAGCAGAGGCAGCAGCGCCAGCCGATTAACGGATTTCCACTCTTTTTTTTCACTCTGCACACGGGTAAGTGTCCCCCCAACCCCCTTGCTCCAAAACCGTGCTAAAATTTTCATTATGCCAAAGAAGAAAAATTCAATATGTATGGGCTAGAGCAGCAGGCTCCATCTCCACTCTCTTTTCGTCTCCTTCACTCTCTTGCTCGCTCTCGGCCACTATCCAATTTAACCTCAACCGGTCTGCTGCATGTCATGGATATGTATGTGTGTGTGTACACACCGGAGGGCAATGCAATAATGGCCATAAAATATGATTGTATTAAAAAATGTATAAATTAATAAAAATATTATATACTACAAAAATGGGGCTTAATTAATAATAGCTTTTAAAATATTTTATTTTCATAACTGTGCTAGTTTTATTACCTCTGGTGTTATGGTTTGTTTGTGTGCGCTTCTCGTTCGGCTCGTTAAAAATGCGCTGCCGGCGTCGCAGTCCGCGTTGGCGGCTTCTTTAACTCTCGCGCATTATTTCGCAAAGCTCGCAAGCCTTCTTCTTATTTTCTTTCTTTCTTCTCTATTGACAATTTTTACAGCCTTTTGTTGTTTGTATTGTTGTTGTGACGCCATGCTTAGGCGCTTGTTTCAGCTGCTACTTTTTCGATTATATCTTTTATTTCTTTTTGTCGCTTGACTGGGTTGCCACGGTTGTTGTTCTTTTTTTTTTTTGCTTATTTTTTGGAGGGGTTGTCGCTGGCTCCGTTATCTATACACATTTTCCATTTATGAATGAGTTGTTTGGCGGCGTTTTTATTTAAAGTGTGTTAATGAACTTTCCCTGGCCCAAAATAAGACTAACAATGTTTTGGCTTCTTTTTATTTTGTTTTTGATAATTACCCGCACGCACTTTTAAGCGCTTTGCAACACTTGAACATTTTCGATAATGACCCCCAGACGCACACATACACTCTCACACGCATAAAGAGTTATTGCACTTGTTCTCTCACTCTTCCCCAGTCACAGAGGCTCTCAGTTTTTGGGTCCACCCCCGCCACTGGTATCGTTTCCCCTCCCTTGGGTTTTTTGGGGAAACGCGTTGCATGCTCCAAAATACACACACAAATGCAAATGTCTTTTCTCTCTCTCTCTCTTACTTGCACTAAACCTGGTTTGGCGTTAGTTTAAAACTTTTTTTTTTTTTTTCAAATTCTATCTTGTCTTCTGTCTGGATTCTACGACCCAGACCCGCATTGCATTACTTTCTGTAGCTCTTGTTGTTGTAATTATTTTTAGTTGTTGCTTTTGGGGGAGGAGGCGCTAGGCACTAGGCATGTCTGAACTAGTTCGCTGGGGAGAGCAGGTCAAGTCAACCGGTTGTGCTTGAGAGGGGTGGGGGGCTATAATTACAAAAAATTTATAAAGCTTTAAAAATATAAAATTAAATTATAAATATTTTTAAATTATTAATTTTAAACTAAATTGTTGTTCTTTTGGAACTGGAAGTCCCTCTTCCAGAGTTATCGCACCTCCACACATAGCCCACCAATACATAAACCCAAATCTACCTGCGTTTGCAGGTGACTATGCGTGTGTGTGTGCGTGTGGTGCTAGGGGAGCAAGCTGCTCTGCTGCTCGATAGCCGAAATTCTCTTTTTCGTATTTTCGTGCGTTTTTGTTTGTGCAACTGGAGCAGCAACTCTGCAGCAGAGTTGCCTGCCTGCCTGCATGAGTGTTTGGTGTTAAGACAGGTGCACTCCCTAAGCCAAGTAGGGCCTTCAAAATTAAAGTCTTAAAATCATAAAAACTTATATTTAAGAAAATATTAAATCTCAGGATCGGAAACTGCCCTTATAAGACCTCAATATTATCGTAATCTTCATCAAAATCTTTCTCTTGAAACCCCAACAGACTCTTGGATTCTTTTGTTATTTCCGAGCTTCTGTCAGGACCCTGGGCCTGGTGGGGGCTTTTGTTTTAGTTGTCAACATAAGGGAGGGGGAGGAGGGGGAGAGAGTTTGGTGCATCGACTAGGGGCTTAGGATATACAACATCGAGGCCCCCGTCCTCTCACCACTCGACACAACAATGCTGCATGCAACTATTGAGGCATGAACATGCAATTTATGTACCTATATGCATACATACATACATATAGACGTATATATACAATATATACCTACGGAACTATGAAATACAGCAACAACCGAAAGCAATGGGCGACTGTACTTTTGATATAAAATCCACTCCACTTCACTTCACTCCCATACACCCATACTCTCCCATACATGGGAAATCAAACAAACACACATACAGAGCACAGATATATGCGTGTATATGTATGTGTAGACTACCCCCCATGCCACCCACTTTTAGAGACACCCACTTGGAGTGGAAAGCTCTGTTTAGTTTTAGTTGCGCTTTAAACTGCATTTCGGCTTGCGATGCTTTGTTGTTGTAAGTTGCTGTATATAGGATTCCAAAGGGGGTGTAGGGGGGTTTTTAAAGGTGGTACGGGGCAGGCTCCTATATAAGAGGGTATGTATGTGTGTGTGTGTGTGGGTGATTTCAACAATTCACATTTTGTGCAACAAACGAAATAGAAAACAACTGCAATATGTGGTGCTCATGGAATGCAGATGGAAACGGTGGTCTGGAGGAAAATTCAGACCCCCAGAGAGGCCCTTACCCTGGGGTAGATATAGATTCGAAAGCCTAGGGATCGAGACCAATCTGGAACTTTGTTTTAAATTAAACTTTTCAATATTTAGGAGTTATTTAAAGAAGTACCTTTGTTTTATTTTAAGATACTTTTCTTATAGATGTTGTATCTTTAAAAGTATCTTGTATCTTTATATTTAAAACTTTTTCTTATAAGATAAGAGTCTATTTGACAAGTTACAATCATAGGTATGCTTTTATAATATTAACAAAGTAAATGGTAATATTTATATTGTATATTTTATGGGATATCGTTCTTATAGATGATATCTAGTAATTTTTAAAGTTTCAGAGCTTTAAACTACACTTTCTATTTAAAATTTAACAAAAATAGTTGTATCTTTTAATAATAATTCAAAATATAACCCAAAAAGTAAGAATAAAACACAGTACATATTTCCACTATTTTATATTCTATATAAGATCCAGACACAAGTAATCTTCTATAAGATAATATCAAATAATCTTTTAAGTTTCAAAGCTTATAACTCAACATTCTATTCAAATATATTAAATATTAACCAAAAAGTAAGAATAATAACCCAGTCAATTAACCTCTATATTGTATTCCGTATAAGATATCTTTCTTATAGAATTTATAAAAAATACTTAAAATCCTAAAAAATCAATTCAAAATATGATCAAAAAATTAAGAATCTAAGTATCTAAAGCTAGTAGTAGATATTTCTTTACATTATATATATAAGATATCAAGTAATCTTCTACTATTATCCATATCTTTTATAAGATACCCTTCTTATAGATAGGATCTAGTAATCTTTAAAGTTTCAAACCTTATAAGTTATAACCCTGTTTAACCCTGTTCTTAATTTAAGGTTAAAGTTCTCTTAAAAATAATAAAAATTCAATTACTATTTCCTAGTACCCCCCAAAAATAATTTCATTTAAATCCCTAGTGTGACCAAAGGGTCAGTCGCGAATCTCTCCACCAATGGAATTCCGTTATTGTCTTTTTTTCTCCAAATATTTAACCTTCTTGCCTCCCCCCACGTCTCTTTTTTTTCTGAGAGTTTTTCTGTCTTTTTCTTGATTTTCTTATATTTCTGTGTTTCGTATATATTTTTTTATGATTCCATTTTGAGCTTATGGGTGGTAGGTGGGTGGGTGGTTTTAACTTTACCGTTACTGGTTCTGAAAAAATCGATTATGCGCCGGAGGAGACTGGCACGCAACTTTAATTTAAAGCATCCTCCCTTCCCCCCTGTCCCCCTGGCCCTTAAAATTATCACTAGTTGTAGGAAGCCCGGTATTATCGATTAAATAATTGTCTTTAAAAGGGAAATACTTAAAAAAATATAAATAAAAAAAGAAAAAAAGGGAATCGGACTATTGATTTTGTAATGAGAGTTTCCCAGGCGGCTCTGCTGGCTTCCTGTCATTTCTAGGCAGGCAGAGGGGGTGGGGGGAGTTACATGGGTGGGTGGTTGGTCAGGAGAGCAGGGGGGGACTTGCCGTAAGCTTCCGCTTATGTATAAAACTTTTTCGGCAGCCAGCAACAACAACAACAATAACAACAAAAGTAAGAAGAAGAAGAAGCCAACTATGGCAATATGAGAAGGCTGCTGCAGTGAAGAGAGGAGGGGAGGGGTTTGGGTTATTTCTAGAGGTAGTGGTTGGGGGGTAACTACACTACACAAGTGTTGATAAAATATTTAAATATTTACTAATTAAAGACACTAAAGTAATTAATAAAAAAGAAAATATTTTAAAGAAATATGATATTAACATATTAATTAAAAGAAAAAAAAAGAGAAATTTAAGATGATTTTTATGAAAAAGGTTAACCTTATTTATTTAATAATAAATTAAAGTGAAGGTTCATATTAAGGTGAACCCTAATAATCATAAAATATTTCAAATATTTTTGGGGGATTTTGATAGGTTCTTAATAAAAGTATTTTACGTTATTATCCTCTATATTTTTAAAGATATTATAATAGTTATTATATCTATTATCCTTTTCTCAAGTGTACAGCATAGGGAGATGAAAAAAAGGAAGCGGGAGCCGACAGGAAGAAGGACGAGGGGTGGAGGGTGCGGAGGAGCCCTTTGCCTGCGTTGTTTGTGTATCGGGTGGCGTTAGTTGAAATGCAGACGTTTTGCATTGTTGTTGTGGGTGGTCCTCTGGGGGGGGTGGCGGCAGTGGGTGGATGGATGGATGGTGGAAGGGATGGGATATGGCAAGGGGGTGGTTGGGCCGAGTGACTGGTTGGGTGACTGGGCTGGGCTGGGCTGTGGCGGCGGCGGCTCTGTGGCTGTAAAATGCCCCGAAACGGTACAGCTGTGCATGCACATGTACATAAACCCGCACACACACACACACCGAC